GAGGATGACCATCTCGCGCCGAGCCAAGCTCAAGCACACGCTGGTGGACGATGCCACTCCCCTAGATGGCGCCAAAAAAGAAACACGCAAAATTAGCATTGTTGTGTGCACGTGGTGTGTGTGTGTAACGCGTGCGTGGCGACGTACTCTGTGTATCGGTTGGCAGGGAACTGGCCGGCGTTGTAGATGATGAAGTCGGGCTCGCCGAAGTCGAGCAGCTGCTCGTCGGTCGGGCGCACCATCATGTTGCTGATGAACAGGGCGTGGTAGGCACGCGCGCAGATGACGCGCACCTTGAGCTGGTGCTCGGGCACCCAGCCCACGTAGCCGTCGACCACGTAGAGGCGCTCCCTCGTGTTCAGGTAATCGATGGCGCGCTCACTAATGGCGGCCTAACCGTCAGCCATGGCACAGGGCACGAGCGCTTTGCAGAGAAGAAGGTGAAGTAGAAGAAGAAGAAGAAGAAGGTGTGCAGCGGTACCGGTTGATCATGAACGAGTGGTCGCTGAGAGGGAAGTTGATGGGACCCCACCAGACGTCCTTCTCCGACGTGGGCTCCTTGACGATGCGCTTGTCCTGCGGGCAGCGGCCGGTGTGCTTGCCGGACTTACACACGAGGGCGCCGGTCGAGGTCACCGCCGTGCCGCTTTCGTGCTTGAGGGCCAGCTCGTAGAGCTTCGGCACACTGTTGATGGGTCACACCACCCGGGGTCAGTTGAAGAAGAACTGCGCAAAACTTTTATTTATTTCTTTATTTGTACAAAACCAGCTTATTTGTGTGGTAAAGATGAGATAATAGACCGATTAAAATACAGATTACAAACTGAGCAAGCGGGTCTACGAGGAGTCGGGAGGCCGGAGAGAGGTACCTGGGGTTGCGAATGATGTTGTGGATGTGAATGCCGGTGTACTCGAGGCTCACGCTTTCGAGTTCCTCGTCGTGAACCTGGTGCCACTCCTTGGCCGACAGGCGCGGGCGGACCTCGCCCGAGGCGAAGGGCTTGAGGTGGGCCGTGAGCTGACTCTCGAACCGAGGCGTGGACTTGGGGGAAGTTGACAGTTTATCCATCTGTTGCATTGATTTGAATCAACACGCACCGCCCACGGTGTCAGTCCTCTCCCCCACGTAACGTGACGGCGACAACATGTAGCACAACCGACGAACAAAGATGCGAAAAAGGTTGGGCTCTACCTGACGTTGCGGTGGGCGGAGGGCCGGGGTGAGTACTGTGTAGGGTGCGGTACTGGTGAGGTATGTGTGGTGCTGTGAGTATGTGGTGATGTTCTCAGCCGTGGAGCAACTGAAGAAGAAGAGAGCGGTATTGTGCCCTTTTTATGTGGGTGACCCCGCTGTAGGCGGATTGACACTTTTCCCTCGGAAATTCCGCTTTATGAAAGGGAAATTCGAAAGACGCGGGGAATTCCATGGATCGAGAGCCAATGGCGTGTGAGCTTGGGAAAGCGGAACGTTCCGGCCGATAAGGCGGGATCACTGGACGTTTGGGCGGTGTGGGCGGCAGGGGAGGGGAGCCCAGAAGCCAAGAAGGTGCGAGGTGCTGGCCGTGCACGCACTGGCCCAGGGATGGAGAAGGTCCCAAGTGGGAACCTTTCCTCGACCTTTACCCTTCTTCGACTTCTCTTGTCTTCCCATCTCTACGTCGTTCGCGAGCACGAGCCCGCCCTCTGGCACCCAACACACGACACAGTGCGGCGAGCGAACTTGTTGAGCTTTAGTTGCTGAGCCTCTTCTTGGGCCTGCTGTTGGTATTGGCCTTGGCCTTGCTCGTGGCGGCTCCGGCCGACTTCTTCCCGCCGGTGCCCGTCGCTTGCCTCCGCCTGTGGTCGTCTTGGCCGCGGCGCCGCTGGACCCGCCGCCGTTACCGTTGCCGCTGCCGCCGAAGTAGTGGGAGAGCTTGTGGGCCGGGGGCGGTGACTTGGTGGCGGCAGCGTGCTCGAGGACGTCGTCCATCGTCGCCGCCTGCGCTGCACTCAGGGTCTCCACGACGAGCGTGTGCGGCGTCACGGAGTAGCCGCGATAGCTGTCGGCCAGCTGCTTCATCTGCTTCTTGCGTCGTCGTTCTAGCAGCTCGTCTTCGCTCAGGCCTTCCTCGTCGTCCTCTTCAACCACATCTTGCTCTTCTTCTTCCTCATCATCTTCCTCCTCCTCTTCTCCGTCGCTAGCGAGCCCGTCCTGCTCCTCGCTGCCACTCACCGCTCCCACGCTGCTTTCGCCATCTTCCTCCTCCGCTTCATTCCTCTCCTCGAACTCGTCCATCTTCTCCTTCGCCTTTTCCTCTTCATCGTCAGCGTCGTCCTGCCTCGGCTTCTTCTTTGCTCGGTGTTCCCTGTCTTCGTCTCCGTGATGAGTGCTGCTCGTGCTGGTCGAGCTCAACGATCGTCGCTTGTGGCCGCTGCTGGGCGAGGACTTGGTCATGACCGCATAGCGCGGCGTTGTGGGTGCGAATCGGTAGGTGAAGCGCACGTCGCTGCGGCCGGGCACGGAGAAGAACCGTCGACCACCCGAGGAGGAGGAGGATGTAGAGGACACAGAAGGTACCGAGAGCCACACGCGGCTGTTGGTGGACGAAACGAGGTAGGCCATCAGCACGTCGCGCAAGGCCATCGTCAGCGCCCGCAGGAACTGCGCGCTGCCTTCGCCCGAGCTTCTCTTGCACTCGACGTCGTCGGCCACCTCATCTTCATCTTCGGCCGATGGAGTTTTGAAGGCTTCGATCTGGCGTGGGTCGTGCAGAACGAGGAGCAGCGGTAGCACCGTGGTAGGACCCACCCGCAGGTGGTAGAGCGCCCGCCGACGAAGTCTTGCCGCCAGCGGACCGCGGTCGGCCCAATCTTCCCCTATTTCGGGCTCAATTGATGCCTTGCTATCCACATCATCTGCATGCGACTCCTTACCATAAATCTGTTCGCCGTCCTCCTCATCCAGCTCTAATTTTACGGCTGGTGGTGCTTCCATTCTCGCCAGCCCAGTATTTTCTTTTGTTGCATTTCGATTTTCTTTTTCGGTTCACCCCCCACGAAAGTGTTCGAAGAAAAGCCAAACGTAACGACTGCCTTCTTAACTTCAGAAAGAGTCAATCAAATCAAAAATCAATCGATCGAACACAGAGGATCACATTCGATCTGCATGGAGCTGGTGGAACCACTCTTGCTGACCATATCCAACGTAAAGGAGTTGGTTCAGAGTCATGCCGAAATATCCAACGAAGTATCGGATCTCGGTAAGCTCAAGCCCCAATCTCGTAACGGCAATTAGCTCTCGAGATGGACTGCCATGTACTCGTTTTTAATTTGCGTCTTATCCAAATCACTTTTTGCTTCAAAAGGGGAGACTATTCTCCTGATAGAAACAGCTATTCGACCTCTGGGCTCCTCTGGAAACGACGATCCGCACCTCAAGGATGTGCTTAGAGCCCTGCAACTCAGGTGCCTCCCTNTACGCCTTCTCTC